TAACCAATATGACGAATTTCAATGTGGAAAAATGTAACATGCTATATTTTACCCTGTAACTTCCCAAAACACCATAAAACCTGTACATAGGGGGTACTGTTTTACACGTGAGACATCGCTGAATACAAATGTGTATTTTATTGCAGTAAAAGCAAACAGTATTATGACATTCACAGTTAGAATGTCACGTAGAACTAAAACATTTTAAAAAATTCTTATTGTCTCCCATTTTTAAAAATATTGTATTTATAATAAATTATGTTTAATACCTAAATATTTGATGTTAAATGAAAGCCCTGTTTCCCCTGAATAAAATATATAATAAGTGTGGGTGCACATAATATGAAAGAGGCGAATTACGCCTGAACAGACATAGCGCAAATTCAAGTTTTTGTTTACGTTTTGTTTTGATCACAACGTGTACATTTGGCTCAGTCTTTAAGGGGTTAATGACCCTGAATGCATTTCTAGCAGTACAGTTTGCTAAAAATGACAACATAATGCCCACATCCAATAAATAGTTGAATTATATATTTCTAAAATAAAGATTTTTAAATCTGCTATAATGTATAATAGTTATCAATCGGGGGCTGAGCTTGAACAGAGAAGACGCCATTTTTCAGAGCTCCGGAAAAAACAACTTAATCCGTTAAAGATCCACAACTCCTACCAAGTGGGCTGGCTCCAGTACAGCTAGCTAAACCTGCAGATGCCCTTCTCCACCACGGGCAGAAAAACCCGAAAACGAGGCCCCAAGGCCTACCTCGCTAGCGGACAGCAGCCGGAGCTCAACTGGGGATTCAGCCCACGATATATACATCGGACTGCTCCGGATCGCCTGAAGCAAGTGAGATGGGGCGCAGATCGCAAAGCAGCCGCCACACGACCCGAAAACGCAGCAGGACATTAGCCTAATGCTGCAGACCCCCTCCAAATCAATACACCAGGCACCCTGCGAGACATCGCTGGCCTCCTCAATAGAGGAGGACCACACAGACACTCTCACCTCCAATGCTCACCCTCCGGTGGCATCGCAGACAGCAAGAGACATTCAAGACATGCTCACGCGCCTGCAGAAAACTCTAAAACAAATGTGGGAGGATGATCTAGCGGTACTCACCGCGGAGGTACTGTCCGTGACAGCCCGCACGCAGGCAACAGAAACAGGCCTGGCACACCTGAAGCAAGATCTCCAAACCCTGGGGGAAACTGTGCAGAGCCTGAAAACAACACAGGCCTTGATGGTCAGACAACTCAATATACTAGAAGACAGGGGCAGGAGGAAAAACATAAAAATAAGGGGGTCCAAGAAAACCTACAACTGGAAGAGCTGCCCCATTTCATCAGGCGCTTAGTGGCAACGGTCCTACCATCCAAACGGGCCAAGCTGTTTATGTTTGATGGCTTGTACAGAATAGCAAAATCACCCCAGGCCCCCCACGTCAGCACCACGGGACCTCATCCTGCGTTGCTGTACCATGTCTGATAAGCTGGGACTAATGGCGGCATTCCAAGGACAGACCCTCTACGAGTTTGAGAACTGCCAACTCTCTCTATTTCAAGACCTAAGCAGAGACACACTTATATGGCGTAAGACAATGAGACCACTCACCATAACCCTTCAGGAAGCAGGCATTAACTACAGGTGGGCGACACCGAAGACCCTACGGATAACTAAAGAGGGAAAACACTACAAAATCTCAGACCCTACGGAAGGGCTGACGCTGATGAATGCATTGAGACTAAAGAACCAACGCACAAACATAACATCAGGCCCTAGGCAGGGGACAGCGAGGAGCAGAGAAGCCCCAGACCACAGGGGAACACAAGATGCTACGACCTGACTCAACGCCAACTAAATGGGACCTTTCTAGTTCTACAGATAGTCCCACCACCTATTACAGATTATTCTACCCTTAACCACTAGATGAGTCACACACACTCCGGAGCTCTCCCACCCCTCCTCCCCCCCCAAACCCTGGGTTACAGGGGAATTACACTTAACGGAGCTCCCGCACAACCCAAACGACTCCGCACTAACAAACGCTCCACTTCAGCAATGCCATAGTCAGAAGGCATCACCGCATGATGCAAACCTACACGACAATCCCATAGACGCATACACTCGGCCTAGTAACACACATGGGGAGTTTACCCCGGGACTAACACCAGGTAGAGGACATCAATGAGTACAAAACCTAACCCATTAGACCCGATACCCACTACCCACCATTACAAACCAGGCTACGTTAGTGGTGTTAGTGACTATAGAGTGACACACACTCCTACTAACATGCGACCACATACCGTTACAACCCACTAGACCCGTCTTAACCAAAAATGTGCTAAATGTACCATGAATGCGCCATGGCCATTGCAGCAAAAAGTTTGTTCAATCCTTACATTTTGCACTGAAAATAAAGAATTGAAAAAATGAAATAGTTATCAATCTCTGGAATGGGAATGTAATGCTAATAGTGAAATGGTAGCATCAATTCCCTCTTCTCATCTGTGACTGTAAGAATGATATTATCCACTGATGCTTCCTTTACTGTTGTGGAAGGGTGGCCTTACATTTTCAACAAACCAGCCATCATTACATCATTAACTAGTGGCTTCTGGCAGAAATTAGTTACTCTACCGGCTGGAAATAATTTCTAATGTATAAATAAGGGTGGGCGTGGCTTTATTAACTACATTTCATTCTAAGTGAAAATAAAAACATTTATGCACAGTACTGGTAGTAAAGTGGTTAAGGCTGTTTTGTCATGTTTGCTGTTTTTTTTTTGTTTCATAATTTCCTGCTTTCGTATTTAACCATAAATATTATATATACAAAGTGTAAATGTTAGGTGTGAATAAAATAATCAAAAACACAAATGTATATTTGTATGAGCTCCCATCATAACTAGAATTATAGCTTTACTAGACACACATTTAAGTGTCTCAGCAATAGTTTGGCAAAACATATGAACATGATACTTTCTTGGCTAACCTATTGTGTGCAAGTAAGATCTATGTAAATTACAAATTTGACAGAACTAATCACATATAAATATCAACTATTATGGTAAGTGTAGTTGCCAAAAAGGCTTTTAACAGCTTAAAATAAAATGTATTTTATTATTTCATGTTTTGTGCATAAAAAAAAAAAAGTTTACACTGAGCTGTCATATAGAATTCTAGATGCAGAAAATGAGTCACAGTAGGTGCATAGTAAGGAAACTGTTCATGTCTGAACAATCAAACTGCAGCAAAATTTAATGGTGGTGTGGGGGGCCGGGGCGGAGGGTAAATAACCCCTGCCGCCTTAAATGTGGCACACAAACTATACCACATGGCAGTCTGGGTTAATAAAACATTGAAACCATGGCAAGCGTGCCACAACGAGCATGTAGATAATTCTTTGCTGGCATGTGAACCAAAGGTTCCAAGGCTACCACAGGGCTGCAACATGCAGTGTTGGCACCTTGAGATATATAGCTGCACATTAAACTGGTAGATGACAATCCACCAGGGACCTGCAAATTTAAAGTGTTTCTGTAATTTTCAAGCTTATCATAGTTATCTTTTTGAAAAGGTAACTTTGACTGTGCTGGAATTTCTTTGAAATTTCAAAGCAGGCCTTGACTGACCATCAAACATATGCTGCAATGCCCATAGGCAGAGGCCAACAGGGAATATCAAAGGATCTCCCCGGAGAAGGGACTCCATGTTGGTGGTGAGATCAAACATTTCCCTCACCTGCCTAGCAACCATAATGCTGGGCTATGAAGGGAGCCAGTGAACTTGGTCTGCACTTCCTGCGAGTACAAACCTAATTCTCTGCTCCTTCTACTACATCAGCGTGTTGCCATGGATTACCATTGCAACGCTTTTATACTTTACCTGGTGCCGTCTGGACAGAGAGGTCTGCACTTTCACTATGACCTGCATCGACTACTACATCGACTGTCACACAATACAACTCCTATCTCCCCCATATAAAACTGTTCCTTTCCCCCCCCAGTACACAGCAGCCCATAGTACTCCCACACATTACTGCCCCTTCCTCAGCAAATTACAGTCCCCTCCCACACCATACAGCCCCTGTCATACTACAATCTGCATTGGCCCTCCACACTTGCAGTACCATGTAACTTTAAAGGCCTCACTAACAGTGAAGGGACATTTTAAAGCCGAACTGTCATCCTCCCAATCCAAACAGTATTTCATAAAGATAAAAATAAATACTCACAATTGACTGTGTTGGAATATCACTGAAATTCCAACTCAGTCAAACGATATATTAACACAAAAATAGGGACTACGTTGTTTTTTGTATTTGAAACTGGGGGAAGTAGTGGGGGATTGGGTCTAAAATAGGGATGCTTGGAAGTGTCTGTGGAAATAGCAGGATCCTCCATAGGCCACAGTGTTGTCCTCTCACACATGCTTGAGAATACAACACTGATGTTGGCTCCTGGCAACAGAAGAGGACCAGCAGGAAAAAGATGGACGCTAACACAAGGCACAGGTTCACAAAAGTAAAACTCATCTTCCATTGCACCCCACCACACTGCTGCTGGAGCAGTCACCATCACAGCTCTTTGCAAATTACGCAAACACCCCAGACAGTGACAGAGCCGCTGTAAGCCCTGTTTTGAAAACATGGATTGCCAAAGCGAATTTTAAACTGTAGGCCAAAATGAAAAAGTAGCAGACTTGTAGGATGACTCCAGTTCAGATACATTGGTTTAGGACAGGGGTAGGCAACCTTCGGCACTCCAGATGTTGTGAACTACATACCCCATAATGCTCTTACACCCATAATGCTGGCAAAGCATCATGGGAGGTGTAGTCCAAAACATCTGCAATGCCGAAGGTTGCGACATTCCCTATGAACCCATCCATCTGTCAGTGAATAACCCTGAACTGGCATGCAGGAGCAATGGTCATGTGACCATCATCCAGCAACCCAGCGTGTTTATACAGTGTCTTGCTCTAAAATCACAATGTGCCGATTCCTGTGGTCAGTGTTGATAAAAGTCGGATTTTACGGCTGGGTTCAGCCTCTTCTCTGCCAGTACCTGCTGACCTACAGCAAAATGGCGGCCGGAGCTTCAGACCGGATTCCCGCATTTTGCCGTCCGCCGCACGCAGGAAGAGGAGGAGGAGGAGAGGTTGGTGCGAAGCTGAGAGAGGGGAGAAGGGGGCGAGCTGAGCGGAGGAGGGGGTGAGAAGTGAGAGAGCGAGCGGCCGTCTGAGAGGCGGGCAGGAGCCGGAGGCAGCCCGCGAAAGAGCAGAAGGATCCCCGGGTAAGAGAGGGGACGGAAGCCGAGAGCAGCCGGACTCGGAAAGGTCGCAGTGAGCGCTGAGCAGCAGAAGATGGCGGACGGGGACAGCGGGAGCGAGAGAGGGGGCAGCAGTGGCGGAGGAGGCCCCGGCGGCTTCCAGCAGCACATGTCCCGGGACCAGGAGACCCAGGAGCTGGCCTCCAAGCGGCTGGACATCCAGAACAAGCGCTTCTACCTGGATGTCAAGCAGAACGCCAAGGGCCGCTTCATCAAGATCGCCGAGGTCGGGGCCGGGGGCTCCAAGAGCCGCCTCACGCTCTCCATGGCCGTGGCCGCCGAGTTCAGGGACTACCTGGGCGACTTCATCGAGCACTACGCCCAGCTGGGCCCCAGCAGCCCCGAGCAGATCGCGCAGTCCGCCGGGGAGGACGGGGCCGGAGCCACGGGGCCACGCCGGGCCCTGAAGAGCGAGTTCCTGGTGCGGGAGAACCGCAAGTACTACCTGGACCTGAAGGAGAACCAGCGGGGCCGCTTCCTGCGCATCCGCCAGACCATCAACCGCGGGCCCGGCTTCAGCGGAGGGGCCGGCGGCGGAGCGGGCCTGCAGAGCGGACAGACCATCGCCCTCCCCGCGCAGGGCCTCATCGAGTTCCGCGACGCCCTGGCCAAGCTCATCGACGACTACGGCGGGGAGGACGACGAGCTGGGCGTGGGCCCCGGCGGCTCGGGCGGCGGAGGAGGAGGAGGAGGCTCGGCCGGCGGCGGCATGTACGGAGAGCTGCCCGAGGGCACGTCCATCACCGTGGACTCCAAGCGCTTCTTCTTCGATGTGGGCTGCAACAAGTACGGCGTGTTCCTGCGGGTCAGCGAGGTGAAGCCCAGCTACCGGAACTCCATCACCGTGCCGCTCAAGGCCTGGGGCAAGTTCGGCGGGGCCTTCTGCCGGTATGCCGACGAGATGAAGGAGATCCAGGAGCGGCAGCGGGACAAGATGTACGACCGGAGGGGCCCCGGGGAACGAGGGGGCGGCCTAGGAGGAGGAGGGGAGGACTCCGAGACAGAAGATGTGGATGACGATTGAACGGGAAGAAGGGACGAGGCAGGGGAGAGAGAGATGGAGAATGGAGGGAGGGCAGTAACACATAGTCATAACCAATTCTAGTAGGACACGGGGGGAGGGGGCATGTTATTGGGGAGGGGGTCAGTAGGGGTCCAGGTGGTGTTGTAAGTCAGGTGTGGTGTAATAACATGTAGGACAGGTCTGTATAGTCAGTATCTTCATTCATTATTCTCTGTCTGGGGGAGGTGGGGGGGATGTTAGTGCAGTGCAATGCCCCTTACAGGAGTGATGGCTAGCACTGGCTGCTACAGCTCCTGAGGATTGGGTGTCTAATGATGCCTTGTCAGCTAAACCTAGTTAACAGCTGGATTGTGCAGTGATAGCCATCACCTTTGTAAGTGTTTTGCACAAAGATTTGCTTCAAATGGCACAGCTTTATATATTTAAAAAAAAAAAAAAACAACCATCTAAAATTAGTTTCTTACAAAGCCAGATACACCATACAATGCAGTAGGAAACAGGACAGGGTTACTTATCAGAGACTATTGAAAATGCCATTTATTTTCCTCTACTCTCCACTACACCTAATACACATTTCCCTCATCAAACCTGTTTAAAGGAACACACCCTATTTCAGAAATATTTGGTTTTCTACTTTAAACTCCACACACATGTCTTAAACATTTTTAAAGGTGGCAATATGTCATGCCTTTGCATTTTATCTGTAGTCTGTTCACAATGGTCTATGTGCTGAAAGAATAACTTGGGCAGTGGATATTGAAGCTCACTTTAGATTGCCTTGCATGGACTCACGCTAAACACAAATTATAGGCTACAAAAAGGGTGCTTTCTTAGATCACCTGGAGTCACCGACCTTCCCTAGGTGTGGTGTACATAGATTTTAAAGTGCTGTGCACAGGAAAGTGCTGCTTTGAATTGCCCACCATAGCCGTTTTAGTAGACTTGGTAATATCTCCCAAGCCTAACTTTTAAGAAAGGTGCACATGTCCAGAATAAAGCTTACATTACTTTCTTGTGTTCCTTAATGTAGGGGGAGAGGTTAGCATTACAATCCCCCTGTCCTTGCAGATGCCTGGCATTTAATGATGTTGCCCAACTTAACATTTTACATCACTTCTACTGCAGTTTGGTAGCATGGTTTACATGTGGTAGTTAGAGGGAAATGAGTAATAATTTAAGGCAGTCTCACTCCTTTCTCCCTTGCCTCTCTGAACACCATCACTATTTCAGTTTTCATGTGTTTTTAATGGGCTTGCAGTGATGCCCCCCCAATCCCCCAAGGAGAAAAGACCAGTAATTCTGTTAAAACACGCTCTATAAATCCATAATGAGACCATCCGTTCCTGAAGCACAAGGGGAAGCTTGTCGGATTGCTTGCTAATTGCATTAGTATCCACAGAGTATCCAGCGACAGGACCTGCTACCATTCCTACCAAGACAAAACTGATCCTGCCAATTGTGGATGATTTCCGACTGCCATAAATCACCTTACTTTAAATACCAGCACTAACCACGCAAGTTTAAAAGATCTTTAGACTGGGGAATATTATTCAGAAATCGAGGGAACCATACAACCTGAATCTGTGAAACTCTTGTAAGGAAGATGGCAAAAGAAAAAAGAGTTAAAACTCCTCAACACACTCTTTTTCAAACAAGATATACTCAGGTCCATGATTATTCTTACCAGGCTTTTTATTATTAAAAAGACCTGTATTAAATTCTCAGTACCTCGGAGGGTGATGGTGCCTCCAAAGTGCTCTCTGCACACACCAGAAGAAACAGTCCACGTGGTGGCAGCCCAGAAGCAGTGCAAGTGATCAAGTGGGTTGGGGAGGGGGGCCTGGAAATGAGCGTGCTGCCCATATGTGCATGGGCAATTAATTTGGAAAAACTATGAATGGACATGATACCCTGCCTAATGGTCTCTGGACCCCAAATAATGTTTTGGGGGCTCCTGTAATTCACTCTCCACCTGTAATTTTTAAAATGAAATCTCTACAAATGGTTTTAACGATACTGGATTGCTCCCTTGCTTATACACTTAAAAGAAATAAGTCTTTTGAGCCAGAAGTAGATATTTAAGTCTCTTCTGAACCAAAAGAATTAACATTATAGTATTTTTTTTTTCTTTATGCGGAATATATATATATATATTATTTGAAAACAGAGTTCCCTAAAATCCCATTTAATTTACAGTGCAGTTAATACTATGGCAATTCAGATGCCTTTGCAGTGAGGTTTATACAATAAAGATAAAACCATGCTGCAAAAAGGCCATTGGAATTTCTGACACATTGAAGTAATAGGTTAGTTAGGTGTTTACTGCATTTAATGTCCCAGATGGTTTTTATCTTCACAGAAGCTGCCTTCATATTTTTTCCCCAATATATGTTATAAATTAGTATCCCTTTTAAGGTATTTGATGTACATATCCAATGTCTTGGGATTTTAAATTGTCCTTTTATGCTAATGATAGCTTACAACTGACATTGAAGTTGTAGGCCATTTTTCCCATGGTGATTGGGAAGTATCCTCATTTACAGTGTCAGAGGTAAGCCATCACTATCGTATGCTTTGAAGCAGGCCCATTTTGGCAGCAGAAAAAAAAAGGGGGGGAGCGTTACTGAGTTTGGGGGAGGATCACCTAGTGACCTATCCTATAGCCTCTCACATGGTATGTGTAATTCTATGCAGAGCAATATGTTGCAGGCTGCTGTGGAAGTGAATAGATTAAGCGCAATGATAACATTTGCTGCTGTTTTTTTTAAATTAAGTCACAATTTATTTCCATCAGTATTTTGTGTTGCAATTTATTTTTTCCTGAACTGTATGGGAGCAATAGTATTCCTTGATGTTTTAATTACATCAGTATATTGTACTGTATATTTGTACCCGCAAGGCAGCTGTATAGTGTGTCCTGCTGTATCAAACATATGTGGTTTTATTTTCTTGTTTGTGGCAGAGCTCGTGCAGCATTAGAACAAGTCTTCTCTTTTGTAGGTTTGTGGAATATCCTTGCTACTTTTGTTCCTGTTGCTCAGAAATGCAAACAGTGGCATGTGTCTCTCCAAAGTTTTCTTCACCTGTGTGGGCATCTCTTCTCTCTTGATACTTGTCTGTCAGTAGTTATGCAAATTCTCTTAACATCTGTCTGGCAAGGTATAAAATCATACCCAGTTCCCTGCCTCCCTTTGTGGCTCATGCCATTGAGTACAGTTTTTGTTGTGTTTTTTGTTTTGTTTTGTTTTTTAAAGTAAATAAGCTAAAACAATCTAAAGTATTTAGAGGTGGAGAGAAACTTATATCCCCACCCCTTCCACATGACATTGCTTACAATCCCCTACTGAGTATTGTTCTGCATGTCTGCACAGAGGGGCTCTGTTTCTTGATATGACTATCCTGTTAAAATATCCAGCAGATCCTCGGAGTAGAAACAAGGTTACTGGTCAAATCACACTTTAACCTTAATTTCTTTGCTCCGACTACCAAAGCAGCAACTTGGTGAGATTTTTTTTTTTTGTTGTTGCTGTTTTATTCTGTGATGCAAACTGAAGAGGCATGGATTTAAATAAAAAAAATATATGAATTGTGATGGCACATTTTCAGCATTTCAAGACATTTGCTGACAGGGGTTAGCTGTCTCCAATCACTCTGTCCACAATAGTGATTTGTAATAGTGTTTCTCAACCGTTATCCAAATACCACTTGTAACAGTCATACCCCACCAGGGTTTCCAATAAACAGCTTATTTATTAGCAAGTACCCTAGTGGCAAACTTTCCCATTAAACCCCATTATCCAGTGAAGTATAAAAGTGTATTGGATTTCTACGCAGAATATGCAAAGCAGAGGTTGGGAAACTATCCATTACATCATAATTTATTACATCTTAACTTTGTCAATAATTTTTTTTAAAATGACGTTTGGGTTCAAGTACTGCTGTTACACAGTGATTAGTGGTAATAATGAATTTGAATTAACATTTTTGTTCTCCTAAATGTGCAGAAAATCAAAGTTAATTTCAGTGTTCACAGGCAGAGCTGTCTGCTGGAGCCCTGTTGTTTTCTGGTCCTGTAGGGGCTTCCATGGCATAAGGAGAAAGTTTTTAATTTTACATCTTTTACCAGGCTGTGTTATGTGGCCCACCCTATATGTGTTGGACTGCATTGGCTTGAAGTGGTATTTTCCAAGAGTTACATTTCCTTTGTATGTAGCTTGTACAGAGAAATTCACAAACCTAAATCCTAAACTGTAAATGTTGTATAGCCTCTTACAAAAAAGAAATATATATATATAGCTGTATATAAAATATACAGGGGTGATGATAATTTGTTTTACAGATGTGTTCTCTCTCAGGCTTTTAAATCCAAACTTTCTGATTTAGGCCACCTCACACAGATGACCTGCAGTCCTATGCTTTCAACGTATCTCTGCTTCCTCTGTGATGGGTGTGTATTTAATATTTCTTTACATGGGTAGCATTTTGGCCAAAGTGTCCATTTTATCTTAATGTTCACATGCAAAATCTTTCCCAGTGGTTGAGAAAGGTGTTTGGTATGAACAAATAACACCTGTCATAAAATTTTAAGCACCAGTTCCATATCTGGATGAAACTTGGTAAATCGGTAGCCATAACTGTACACAAAATGTTTAATTCACTATCCTGTGGGATTTCATTATTCATGGTAGCTCAGTCCACGGAATGAAAGAAACCTGTTGCTCTAGATCACTGGTCTCCTCGGCTGGTGTGAGAGAGCTTGTCGTTTTTTTAATTCCAGAAGGTTGATGGAAGTCGTTCTCTCTTACTCTAAAAGGCTTTTAAAGTTGTCTGCTTTGAAGTTTTTCGGTATGTTTAGCATAAAACATTTTCATTAGCTGCCTGGTTGGTATATTCAGTAATGTCACCCTTCCCCACGCCTGAATTATAGATCATAGCCTGTGTAATTTTTCATACCCTGCTTTAGAACAAGTGGTTACATAACCATGCGGGATCCTCTCCCAAAAAGTGGATATATCACAATTTCAAGCATGTACCAATTAAGTTATTCTGCTGGAAAGTGAATAATATTGTAGTTTGTATTTAGATTAGTAAAAACTTGCAGAAATTTTAAAATTAACAGGGCTCATTGTGCAGCTCGGCTAAATTACAGATTAATGTCTAGCGCACTACAGGAAACCTTTGCTGCTTTTTTTATAGTGCTGGCAGATGATCTGCATACTATATAATTTGGCTAACCAATCACTGAGCTACTCATTACTAAAACACTTTTGCATAATTTGTGAAATGGATTGTGTTCTATCTTTTGCATTAGTGTTACCCAATCAATTGTTAACCAGGGCCACTTTTTTGTTAGTTCTTGAGGCCTTTCCATAGAAAACCAGACATAAACAGTAAAGTGCATAGCTCCGTCTTGCTGCTATGGATAATCTGGTCATGTTTTGGAATTACTGTATGAATGCCTTAGCAGAAATGGATCTGGTTATTTTAGTTACCGTATTACATTTATTGTAGACCTTCTGCTACATGACTCTCATGAGACATGGGTAAATATATAATTTTTTCTTTTCTTTATATTCATAATTTTACAGCTTTCCGTGAAAAAATTGTGGCCTTAAAGTAAAACTATTTATGCAGACAGCACTGCACGTTAGCCACTGGTGTTCTAGTTTTTTCGCTTTGTTTTTAAACCTTTGACTGCTACAGGGTTGAACAATGCATTACCCAACGCTCTTTGGCCCTTAAAGAGTTAATTGAACTTACTAACAAGCTATACATTTCCCAAATTCACGGGACAGATATTTTTACTGTAGATAAGTAGTCAGTATAGGCTATGAAGAGATCAATTTTTATTTTTTATTTTTTTTAAACATGAGTGCCACTGGGATTTTAAAGATGCATTGCACAGCTCCTCTGGTACAGTTAGGCTTCATAGGAACAACCATTGCACTGCCAAGTGTTTTGGCTTCAGCTAGTGGTATCTGCTTTTTAGCACAGCTTAACATTGTATTCAATGTTAAAGGATGATAGCATTTTGAGGGCATCTGTGACTTGGTGTGCTCATAATGTAAAAGCATTTCTGCTCTAGGCATTTATTCAATGTATTCTTCAAATACACTTTGCTGACAGGTTAAAGAGAATTATATTTAAAAATATATTTTTTCTGTTGAAAAGCACTTTAAATAGTAAAATTATAGATTAACCAGCTGACCCTTTGCCCTCCAAACACCTATAAATGGAATAAATCCTTCAATGTATCCCTTGAGGTTGTCGACCCCTGCTCCTTCAAAATCCTGCCTGCTGACCATAGCTTCTTTCTCTGTATTTCCCAACTCACTGTGTCTATCCAGGACAGGTTGTTAGAGTAACCGCTCACATTGGAATATCAGATGGTTTATAATTATCTGTAAAATCTACTCTGGCTGAGATTTCCTGGTGGGTGCTGGAAATTCTTAGCACTGTTACTGTGGAGTATCACCAAGTAGCCAAAAGCCAAGAAAAATTGTTGGCTTTACAAAAGCAGGTTTTGGATTTACCACTATTTTAGTAGCGGGGTAAATAAAAATAAAATCGGCAAATGCAACGAAACTGTAACATTCAAACTCCTGCTAGTCAGCACTCCTTACAATAACAGATTTTTGCAAAACTGAGTTTTACAATCTATATTTAAAAAGAAAATTGTATGTTTGTAACAAATAAAGTATGCGGAAAAGTGAATGAAACCATAACTATCTGTGTCTTGTTTTAATCTCTTTTACTCAACATTCTGGCAAACTAATGGTACATTTATTAAATATTTATTTTAACAGTAACTATCACTTTGGATGTAATATCATATTCAAATTTTTTTTAAATAAATGTTTATTAAACTCCTCAAACATTCTTCTACAGTTAAGACCTGTAGTAAAAGTTGAGGAGAGAGGACATATAGCTGAGCAGAGACTTTAAAAGTGAAATGTCACCACCAGCACATGGTGCTCACTGGGGCTACTATCCAGTGACCTCTTTTAACAAAGAAAGGCTGAACATTAACAGGGTGTTGTTTCTCTCCCTGTCCACCAGCCAACACCTTTCAGTCCCTTCTATACCCATTAATCCCAGGTACCCCTCAATATCCTGGCAAAAAGTGTGATACACTTAATGGCACTGTAAATGCAATACAAAGTGAAATGTGCAGCAGATTAATGCCGTAAAATCGATCCCATAAATACCACCTCATTGAACATAAATACAAACACACGTAAGTCAACAATTTAAACATAAATGATAGTGAAATAATTTGATTATACATTAAGTGATGCAGTAATATTAAATGTATACCCTGTAGGTTGTCTTGGAGTTTTACTGGAATATAAAACACTCAGCAGTATAGTAGGTATATTTGATAAACAAGTAAGGAAACTCTAAAGGTATCACACTCACATTTTTTATTGAAGCTGTATAGAACTGGCTCAGCTTAATCTGTTTAAGTGTATTTGCAAGATGTCTTCAAGTGATTCCTTATTGCACATTTTATCCTCTGAACAAATGGAAAAGAGGCACCACAGGTAAGATTAAACTGGCAGCATTTATTTGCAACAAATAATAAAAACCTACATTTACGTGTTAAAGTGCCACTCCTCAAGTTCACATTAGTACGTAAGCAAACACAATACATTTCCACACTGTACGTCTCCCTTAGCCTCTTTGATGTAAAACTTGAGTAAACTACTCAAAGCATTTACTGCAAGATGTAAATCGCAGGCAAATATGTCAATATCTCATGCAATCCAAAAAGCATGGAAAAGAGGGGGCGTGGCCAACACGGAGCAAGATGGTCGCATAGAAATCTGCTCCGGCGACTGGGCATCTAATCTGATGTAATCTCATCATCCAAAGCTGCATCCAGCAACCTACCACCGCGATGTCACAACACAGGACCAAGAAGAGCTCTGTGAAGACTGAAAAACTGAATTTTTTCAGCCAGAAATCAGCTCCTGCAACTCCGGCGGACCAGGCCTCAACCGACAACGAGGACCCCGAGCCGAATTATAACATGCAAAGCTCGCAAGCTGAGGTATTGTTAAACAACCAACAGCTCACCAAAGCTGATCTCTCAGCAGCCTTAGAGTCACTATCGAACAAACTAATAACAACTTGGCAACACACAGCCGACTCATTAAGGAAAGACATACAAGAGTTGGGGAAACGAACATCCAATATGGAGGACAAATGTGATGAAATCGCTACGGCACACAATGACCTCGCAACCACTGTGGAACAGCTATCTGCTCAGCTAACCACTATGGAAGAAAAACTAACGGACATGGAAGACCGTTCGCGCAGGAACAACCTCCGCTTGAGGGGGGTTCCGGAAGAAATCAGCAATGCAGACTTACCGGCATATGTTCGGGGGCTGTTAAAGGCGCATGCACCAGAGATCCCAACGGAAATGCTGCTGGTGGACAGAGTGCACCGCATCCCCAAGCCGCGACACCTGCCTCCGGCGACCCCAAGAGACATACTAATGAGGGCTCACTACTTCCATATAAAGGAGCACATTCTCAGAAACAGCAAAACACGCGCCAAACCACCGGACGAATATGCCACGGTCCGAATCTATGCAGACCTCTCGGCAGCCACGCTCCGGAGACGAAAAGAATTTTCCCAAATTACAGGTGCCCTGAGAGCGCACAATATCCGCTACAAATGGGGCTTCCCCACAAAACTTCTTATTACAAAAGACGGAACGACAACAGTAATCCTAACCCCGGAGGACGGAACGAAGAGGCTGAGAACCTGGAATGTACCACTAACACCTGACCCCCAGGATAAGCCAACGATCAGCGAACCGCTTCGGCCCGAATGGACAAAAGTCCCGAAGAAACATTAAACACCAGACGACAACTGGTTTACCGGCAAGACTAACGCAAGAATCCAAAGCAGCTGGCCTCAATGGTGACCAGACCACATCGGAACAGCCCGACCCCTGAACACCCATGACGCAAAGACCTTTGGCGGCGACGCAGAGGGCCCCACCACCAAGTAAGCAACTGGATCCGGGGCTCCCGCCATCCCTGTGACGAAGCACAGCAGAGCAGTGGAACCTTGCGGGGGACCCGGATCTGGAATCGTAGATTGGGACTGTTACCGATACCGGTAAGACTGCCTACATACTAACCATCACCCATACTCGGGTGCACAGCCCATGCAAAACCTTTTTGGCTATCCGGGACTCAGTGACTCAGCCCTCCTACTAGACATTGTTATAAGGCAAATCTAGCAGCCATTTATTGAACAGAACGGGGGGACTGGGGCTCTCGGGGGGCGGGAGGCAACGACAAGGTGGGCTACCATAATGGAAGGCTCCCAGGGTAACAGGATCTCATGGGCCCAGTGTGGGGGCCACATTCTCCCGTTAGGGGTTGCACACCAACAGAACAGCTAGCACAGCGGGAAGTCATGGGCAGAGAAACCCGGGTGACCATATCATGCAGACCCTTACATGACAACACACCAAGAAAGTATTAATTGTCCCAGTGGACGCACCCTAACGCCCATCAGAGACCTATAGCAGTTGTTGCCCGCCCTAGCTACGAAATTATAGCTAAGTCACACGAGACGGAGAAAAGTCAATTCCCATGGTATATGGACCAGACCTAGCTGCTGCTGCCAAACCTCATGAGTAACTTGCAGCAAACTATAAGCAAAGCCCAAAGACCACGTAATGGAGGCACCAGGAAACTCCATCCCCCAAGGTGCGGAAAACTTGCACCCTGTCTCACATCGAGACATCATGTACATAGTTAACATCCCCATCCCCAGTTCTTACTCCTTCCAGTACCCCCTCTCCAGTTCGGTAAAACAAATAGGGACAACACAGGCTGACAGAAACCTTAACCAAGCAAGTATAAAAGGTAGCGCCGCAACACCGTATAATTACGTTATTTTAGCTACTGCCTGTGAAGGGCCCACCGAGACTGCACTTCTCACCACAATAACTTGGTACACATATTTATCTAGCAAGCTATTTATAACTATACACAAATGGTGAAAGTGCAATCAATCAACTCACGCGGGCTAAACACTCCACATAAACGACGATTATTATTGGAAGAGGCCCAAAGACACAAAACCGATATATTATGTATACAAGAGACCCATTTTGTGCATAACAGAGTACCGACATTCGCAACTAGAGACTTCCCAGTGCAATACCACTCCACATACTCATCCAAATCTAGAGGGGTCTCGGTACTTATACACAAATCTATAACATTTGAACTCTTACAATTGAAAAAAGATACACAAGGTAGGTTTGTCATACTACACTGTAAAATAAATGATGCACAATACATCCTAGTTAGTGTCTACGGCCCAAATGACAACCAAAGAAATTTCTTGCATAGGATATTGACAAAACTGCCAACCACGATCCATGTCCCTACAATAATCTGTGGAGATATTAACCACATACTACAGCCCACGTTAGACTCTACCTTGCCAGTTACATCCCCCAGATACAAAACCTTAAGTAAACAAACAACCTCACTGACACGTCTAATCTCAGAATATGGACTCTATGACGTATGGCGAACACAGCACCCGGATAGCCGGGAATTTACGTTTTACTCCTCAGTCCATAACACTTACTCAAGAATCGACTATATTCTAGTGTCAGGAGACCTACTACCACATGCCACCAGCAGCACCATCGGCGAGATAACATGGTCAGACCATGCAGGGATATGGTTAACACTCAAGGATAATTTTGCATTCCGGGGGGCAACTCCCTGGCGCCTAAATGACACACTTCTAAATAACCCAGAATATAACCAAACACTAGACACGGAACTAATGTCATATTTCACCCACAACACGGCACCAGAAATAACGCCAGCAACCTTATGGCTTGCACATAAAGCAGTAATCCGGGGGCATCTTATAAGTAGAGCATCCCACCTTAAACACAATTCAAACCGAGAATACCTGACTCTACTCAGATCCCTTAGGGATGAAACATCAGCCCAAATTTCACAACCTTCCACTGAACGACAGCAGCGGATACAGCAAATACAAAAACAGATCAACAACATACACATGTTGAAAACAGTTCATATCGCAAATAAACTAAAACTCACTACTTACACACAAGCTAATAAGGCTGGGAAAGCGCTGGCGTCGATACTCAGGCAAAAGCATCTGAACGCCAAAATTCCCTTCCTCTTCAACGAGAAAGGAAACAAAATTTTTAACCCGCAAGACATAAACAACATGATGGCCGATTATTACGATACATTATATAATTTAAAGACAGACGGTGACACCCACCAACCTCTCCCATCTAATATAGATGAATTTCTATCGGGAATGAGACTGCCTAGGCTGACCTCAGACAACATTACCACTTTAGAAGCACCCGTCACACTTATCGAAATACAACAAACGATAAAGACACTCCCTAAAGGGAAATCTCCAGGACCAGATGGGTTTACAAACCTATATTATAAGACCTTCTCACATACGCTAACACCCCACCTAGAGAAACTATATAATCATATTTTAAGCACCGGAACCATACCCCAAGAAATGCTGATAGCCCATATATCCACCTTACCCAAACCCGGCAAACCTCCCCACAAATGCCAAAACTTACGCCCAATTTCACTATTAAATACAGATCTAAAAATACTAGCCAAGATCTATGCCACTAGATTGGGGAACATCCTACCATCCTTAATAAAGGACGACCAGGTGGGTTTTATCAAAGGAAGACAAGGTTCTGACGGGACCAGGAAATTAATAAACCTTATCCATAATATCCAACAGACAAAAGAACCCAGTGTGGCCTTGTCACTGGATGCGGAAAAGGCATTTGACAGGCTGCACTGGGGGTACCTAGAGGCGGTTCTTCAAAAATACAACTTCCCAAACCGCTTCTTGAAGCTAGTTTCCGCCCTGTATGACAAACCAACGGCGAAAGTAATCAATGGAGGCTTTGTCTCCAAACAATTTCAAATCTCAAACGGCTCTAGGCAAGGCTGCCCGCTGTCGCCCCTTCTATATATCCTAGCTTTAGAACCACTAGCACACACTATCAGGGAAAACCGCAACATATCGGGGGTCACCGTGGGCAGCAGGGCGCATAAAATCACATTATTTGCCGATGATGTGATGCTTACCTTAACCAAACCCGAAACATCCCTACCAGCACTACAAGCCGTAATCCAAGAATTCGGCAATTGCTCATATTATAAACTCAACGTTGCCAAAACCCAGGCCATGAGCTTCAACATTAGAAACCCAAGACTCTCAAACCTGCGAGCTACCTTTACATATGACTGGAGAAAGGACCACCTTACCTTCTTAGGAATAGCTTTAACACAGCATATACACAAACTATACCAAGCAAATTATGTGAAACTCCTTCGGGAAATACATACTCAACTGCAAAATTGGAGAGGAAAATATGTGTCGTGGATGGGTAGAATAGCGGCGGCAAAAATGATGGTACTGCCCCGTTTACAATACCTCTTCAGGACACTACAAATTGATCTCCCAAGGCAATTCCTCACTAAGACCCAACAAGCCATAAATACGTTTCTATGGGGGGGGAGAAAAGCCAGAATCGCAGCAGACGCCCTATATAAACCTTTCAAAAAGGGAGGAATGGGGGTGCCGGACGTTTCGCGATACTATCGAGCGGCCATAGTAAGCACACTAGTACAAATGCACCACCACAAAAAATCACTAGCGTGGAATCAAATAGAAACGGCGCATACTGAGGGGCTACCACTACATACACTAGCCTGGATGCCAGCTGACAAAAGACCACACTACAAAACAATATGCCCAACAACAGCAACGACACTGAAAGTGTGGGATAAATTAGTTAAGAAACAGCAGCCTCGAATGAGGATCTCCACGGCCTTCCAACTTCAGGCACTAACTATCCTGATTCCAGGATTCGAATATAAAATATGGCACTCTCATGGGGTATTTTGCTTGTCGCAGGTTCTAGACAACGGACATATGATAGACTACGACACACTACACAACAAGTATAGTCTCACACCTGCCACCTTCTTCTCATACCTACAACTGAAATCGTGGGTACACAAACACTATGATAATACACAAGCCCAAGGACACTTGCTCACAGAGATAGAACGGCTATGCTTAGCAACAAAGCCCCCACAAAGGCTACTATCAACCTTGTACAGTCTGATCGGACCAAATGACTATTTAGAACAACTCAAATGTATTAAGGCATGGGAAAGGGAACTTGGACAAACACTGACACCAGAAGATTGGTCTAGTACATTGAAGGCCCACAAAACGCTGACACTAAACACGGCACATATTGAAATCAGTAGGAAAATACTATATCGTTGGTACATGGTGCCAACTAAACTCCACAAAATAGATCACACAAAGAGAGACACCTGCTGGAGATGTGGTGAAGCGCCAGGCAGTATGGTACATATATGGTGGGCATGCCCGAAACTCATTCCCTTCTGGTCCGAAATATCGGACATACTAAAAAACATCACAGGAGTAAAACTGCCACACACTCCTCTCTCCTTTCTGCTATTAATATGGCCTGTAACACTGCAAAAGCCAGACGTATATATTGCATACCACATTATTATTGCAGCCTTGACTGCCATTAGTAGAAACTGGCTAAAACCCACACCTCCTAGTGTGCGACAATGCATAGAAATGGTAGAAGTAACAAAATCATTTGAGAAGGCAGCAAGAGGTACACACACACCCAGAGGATTCTGGAAACTAGCGTGGAGTAAATGGGAAATATGGAACCAGCAAAACTGACACTCTCATAACCCCTAAAATTGAATAAGACGCAAAAGGGGAAAAACAAAACCCTCCCTACTACTATGATATATAACTACTATGACATACTACTGTGATCCACCAAGGGGACATACCATCGTGACATATTAGCAAGACATACTTATGCCCCTGAGCAGAAAGGTATCCCTATGAACTAAACCGAACTAAACCGAACTCGTCCCTTCCCCCCTTCCCCCTTACCCTACTCTCCCAGGTTTATTACCCCTGTTGTTCGTCACACCCCCCTATGTTAAAGCGAACTTACCACACACGAGCACGGAGGTTATCTATCAAAAACAATAGCCACTGGGCCTAATGAGGCACCTATGACGCTCCTATTAGACCATGTTGATAAGACGAATTATAGATGTAAGAAACTATAATATGTAACTGCTGATATCTAATTGTGAAGTGTGACCTTGGAGAGCTTTGTAATAAAACTTCCCCACTCCCCTTTTCTCTTCTGTATCCCCACTGCATCTATGCTTCTGAATGACAAAACAATAAAAATATTAAACACAAAAAGCATGGAAATAACTCACTTTTCCCAACATAAGGTTGCAGTGCAAGTGGGTTGTGCTTCCTATGTTGGGGCAAACAATCTTGAAAAGAAATCTTAATCCTACCTACTCGCGGTATATACAAACTCCTTGTTGCCCTTTAAGTCAGTTCTTCCTTTTCTCAGTATGGGAGGGACATAGCGATCGTTTTTGGTGAGGTACACTAGTGGGAGCTGGGGGACTCGGATGTAAATAATGGTCCCTGGTTAGCCACTACTTGGTATGACAGGCAGAGATTACACGGCCCTCTAGTTATATCAGTTCATAACAGAAATGACAATGTAATAGGCTGAATTAACAGCTGGGGCACTTAGGGTTCGGATTCAAGCTAGATTTAGCATCTATTCTAATCCTAGAAGTAAGGTTAAAATTAATCATGTATATATTAAAGGGACACTATAGTCACCAGAACAACTACAGCTTATTGAATTTGTTCTGGTGAGTAGAATCATTACCTTCAGGCTTTTTGCTGTAAACACTGTCTTTTCAGAGAAAATGCAGTGTTTACCTTACAACCTGCTGATAACTTCACTGGCCACTCCTCAGATAGCTGTTTGGGATCCTTCCTGGGTCATGGCTGCCTAAAATGCATCCAAACATTCAGTGTCTCCTCCCTCTGCATGCAGACACTGAACTTTCCTCATAGAGATTCATTGATTCAATTCATCTCTATGAGGAGATGCTGATTGGCCAGGGCTGTGTTTGAATCATGCTGGCTCTGCTCCTGATCTGCCTCCTTGTCAGTCTCAGCCAGTCCTATGGAGAAGCATTGTGATTGGATCAGGCCACCACTTCTGATGATGTCAGCAGACTGCTTGTTTTTTGCTTCTGGCTTGAATACAGTAAACTTTTTACTATATTTGTGGAGGCAGGGGGGTTAGATGGTGGTTTAACACTATAGGGTCAGGAATACATGTTTGTGTTCCTGACCCTATAGTGATCCTTTAAATGTACAATATGTATACAATATTGAAATACTTTTTTTTCCCCCTCTGGGTATACATAATCTGTAAATAAAAATTACTCCCTAAATCTAACCCTCATTTTAACCCTAAATGTTTCAGTGATGCCTCTAACTATAAGCTGAGTGTGATGGTAACTTTACTTACCTTGCAAGTCCTCACTGAACATCCTTTTCAGATACTGTGATCCCACGGGAGAAATGATTCTGATGATTCCCGACCCATGAGTGGGAGAATAAAAGTATTCTAAAACTGATTTAAACAAAAATCCTAGTAAATCTCAGCAGATTCTATTTCATCTTAAATAGAATTTAAGGGACTATTATGTTTGCATGATTTCTGGCAAAATGTGTAGATTAAGGTGGTACCTACGACAACATCCGTGCATTTTCCTTCAGCTGTCATTGACTACTGATGGTTACATGTGTAAAATGCAGGTATGCTATAGTTCAACAACGTGTTGTATCAAATATCAAGCTTCAATTAACTAATTTATTACAATTTATACATGCAATATTGTACATGACAATTTAATGTACAATTAGCTCCTTAAGGACGAAGCCAATAGTACAAGTTTTGATCAAAACAAACCTGGCATTTGATTATATGTCAATACAACCATAATTCATCTCTCTCATATTGAGTGAACCTACACTTATATATCATTTTGTTCAGGAGAAACAGGACTTTCATTTCACATCAGGTGTTCATATATGAAACAATTCTATATCAATAAAATCTAAGAAAATGTGAGAAATTAAGAAATGTTGTTTTTTCTGTTGTGCATGGCATTTTAACTGTGAATGTCATAATATTTGTATTCAGCGATGTCTCACGAGTACAACAGTAACTCCCATGTACAGGTGTTATGTTTTTTGGCAAGTTATAGGGTCAAATAAAGCACGTTGCGCTTTTCCGTTTATACACATTAAAATTTGCCAGACTGGTTACGTTTGTAACGGCTCCCGGCTCTTTTGTCGGCGTGGCTGCATGAAGCAAATCATGGATGACTATATAAGAGTCCTTACAGAAAGGCTGCATACGTAGATCTTCTCCAGCGGGAGCAGGGTTCTTCTTTGAAAGGAAGGAGATCTACGTCCTTGTATTGATTATAGGGCATGAAACAAGATAACCATTAAAAATGCATTCTCTATTCCTCTTATTTACGAATTATTTGACAGACTCTAAGGTGCCTAAGTTTTTACTAAACTAGACCTTAGGAGCACTTATAATTTGGTAAAAATAAAAAAAGGACGAGTAGAAAACCGCATTTAATACAAGAAATGGACGCTATGAGTATTTAGTTATGCCTTTCGGTCTATGCAATGCTCCGGCTGTGTATCAAGTACTCATAAATAATGTACGTAGAGAATATATCTATACTTTTGTTTTAGTTTATCTCGATGATATACTCATTTATTCCCCCAATCTCCCTACTCACCATGGGCATGTGAAACAAGTGTTGCAAACATTACTCAGAAATGGGTTGTATTGCAAACTTGAGAAATGCATGTTTGATCATACAGAGGTACAGTTCTTAGGGTATATAATTTCGCCCTCTGGTTTTCAAATGGGTTCTCATAAATTAGAGGCCGTTCTACTTTGGCCATTATCCAATGGATTAAAAGTGATTCAAAGGTTCATTGGGTTTGCTAACTACTACTGGAAATTCATAAAAGGATTCTCTACGGTGACAGTGTCAGGATTACAGTTGATCCAGCACGCAGAATAGTATCGCACCTAGGACCAACGGTAACGTCTAACCGGACCTTAGAGTGCCTGGAACTGTTTTTGGCCAGGCACTCCCGCGAACGCCGGTAAAGATAGACCTGCTGCCCGTTCAAGTTCCCGACCATCTACATCTTTCGTGTACCTCATGTGGTTTTCGTACTAAACCCCAAAAATGGAGACCAATAATTGCCACAATTTCCCTGGAACTATTTTGGGCTTCATCCTCGTGGCAGATCAGTCAAACCTTTCCCGGGATGGTGATTAAAAACTATCTGGGTGATTTTTGAATATGTTGCTCCCCCAAATCAGGGCTAGCCAGGGATGTGACTTTTGTGAGGTTTTCATGTATTTTGGGGGTACTTTAAGGGTGGCTGTAAATTGTGTTTTTCTGTACCTGGAGATAATTGAGTTTGTACAGTTCCTGACTCAATTATCTCTCAGGGCCATGGGGAGGAATACCCCTTGCATGGGCTTTGTCATTAAAGGCCATGTATGGCCCTGAAAAAGATCTTCTCCCATCATTAAGCCTTGGTTCATGTGTGGGGGTTATGCGATACTAGCGATATTTCACTTCAAGATTATTTGCGTTATTTTATTACAGGAATAGGGAATCCGTGGCGGCGATACTTTCGCAGACCACCAAACATGGTTCACCGCAGAATATTGTTTCTGACAGGGGTTCAGTTTGTGTCAAGGTTTTGCAGAGCATTTAGTAAAGAAATGGGTATTACATTGTCTTTCTCCTATTCTTATCATCCTTTAAACTAATGGGGCAGCTGAAAGAGCTAACCAATCTTTGGAATCATATTTGAGGTGTGTTATGGATAGCAATCAAGCAAACTGGTCTGATATTCTGCCATGGGCTGAATTTTCTAGAAACAATGCTATCCATGAGTCCTCTGGTCTTAGTCCCTTTTTCATCAATTATGGACTTCATCCCACTATCTTGCCTACTGTATTTTCTGGAACCACTAGTCTGGCTTTGGATGTTCATTTTGGCTTGTGTATGTAATATATGGACTCAGGCATGGGCATCCGCGGGTAGGGTTGAGGGGGGGCACTTGCCTGAGTCCATGTGTTACGTACTTTCTTTTGAGATTGATAATACACTGCAATACCGGTGCCGGTCAGTAGGTGGCGCTGTGTATGGAGAAAGTCAGGGATAGGAAGCTAGATCTTATCCCTGCTTCTCCCTCCTGACTGAAACCACCGGGGAGCAGCACAGAGTACAGCCAGCAACTCCCAGACTGCAGAGACCGCCTACAGATCAGGTAAGTGAGGGAAGGGGGGGCAGCCTACAGATCAGGTAAGTGAGGGAAGGGGGGGAAGCCTACAGATCAGGTAAGTGAGGGAAGGGGGGGCAGCCTACAGATCAGGTAAATGAGGGATGGGGGGCAACCTACAGATCACGTAAGTGTGGCATGGTGGCAGCCTACAGATTAGGTCAGTGAGGCATGCGGTGGGGGGCAGCCTACAGATTAGGTAAGTGAGGCATGTGGTGGGGCAGCCTGCAGATTAGGTAAGTGAGGCATGTGGTGGGGGGCAGCCTACAGATTAGGTAGGTGAGAACGGGGGGCAGTCTGCAGGTCAGGTAGGTGAGGCATGGGGGGGCATCTACAGATCAGGGAAGTGAGGCATGGGGTCAGCCTGCAGATCAGGAAGTGAGGCATGGGGGGCAGCCTACAGATCAGATAAGTGAGGCATGGGGGGCAGCCTAAAGTTCGGAAAGTGAGGCATTGGGAACAGCCTGCAGATCAGGTAAAGGAGGCATGGGGGGTGCAGCAGCCTACAGATTAGGCAAGTGAGGCATGGGGGGGCAGCCTACAGATCAGGTAAGTGAGGGATGGGGGGCAGCATACAGGAAGGGTCAGCAAGGGGAAGGAAGGTAAAGTAGGAAAAGGAGAAGGAACAGAAATGAGCATGAAGGGACATCAAGGAGCAGAAAGGGTCAGCAATGAGCTGGAAGGGACAGAAGGAGCAGAAAGGTAAAGTAGGAGAAGGCACAGAAAGGAACAGAAAGGGGCAGCAAGGAGCAGGACGGGTCTGCAAGGAGCAGGAAGGAGCAACAAGAAGCAGAAAGAGGCAGGAAGGGGCAGCAAGAAGCAGAAAGTCAGCAAGGAGCAGGAAGGGGCAGCAAGAAGAAGGAAGGGTCTGCAAGGAGCAGAAAGAGTCAGGAAGGGACAGAAGGAGCAGAAAGAATCAGGAGCACAAAGGTAAAGTAGGAGAAGGAGTGGAAAGGGCAGCAAGGAGCAGAAAGGGACAAAAGGAGCACAAAGGTAAAGTAGGAAAAGGAGCTAAAAGCAATATAAATGAGCAGGAAGGGGCAGCAAGGTGCAGGAAGGGTCTGCAAGGAACAGAAAGAGTTAGGAAGGAGCAGCAAGAAGCAGAAAGATTAAATACAATCTGGGTGCTTAAGCAGAAAAGGTGTAAAAAGTCGCTTCACACTCTGGTGTAATTCCCAAAAATTACCAACAAAACAGCATATAGTAAAAGTGATGAGTGGAGCAAAGAGAAACACCAATATATAAACAATATGAGAATAAAATACAACCTTACAGGGGAATATATCCTCCAATGGGTATTGTTGTATGTAGGGGAAAAAAAGAGAATATATGCAGTAATAGTGCAGATGGTAAATAACTGCAAATAATTCACATATGTTGTATATAACCTTACAGCACTTAAATGCTACAGAAATAATGTTTCACATAAAAATGACAAGATTTATTATCTGCTACATGCAGAGAGAAATTAACATAAATACAAATACATCAATAGAAAAAAAGAGAGCAATCTTCTATAAGGAGAGTGATTAGCCTCTTACTGGAAAAGTTGGTGAGTCAAACAGTCTGAGCTGTAACTCACTATAAGAGCTTATGGTAATGGGATGGCAGGCAGACTGTGGCATGTATACAGTACTCGGTCGGATCCACAGCTTCGCGGTTATCCTTGAGTCTCTTCCGGGTTCCGTCTGCAACAAGCTCCTCCCCCTTTCGTGACGTCAACGCGTTTCGCCGTATTCCGGCTTCCTCAGGACGTATTCATAACCACCATGTTGGTTATGGGCAAATATAGGGCAAAGTCCCTTCTGATAGGCTCTAATAAAATTAGCATAATTGCTTCTTATTAAAATCTGCATGACATCAGGTCATAATGGTAAACATATCAAATCAAAACGATCCATGTCAGCGCTTTAGTAAAACATCATAGATCATTAATCTTCACACATAAACAAGTCAAGTATAGTTCTTAAAGTGACACACATTACATCAATCAAAACTCAAATGAAACAATCCATACCAGCATTTTGCATATGTATAGTAAATTTCCCAGAACAATTTATCATTGGGCTTCATGCATAAACAGGTTAAGTATAATTCTTAAAGTGACATTGTGCAAAAAGTATTACAATTCCTATCATCTATTCTAGATATGAAAAAACAATATATGTACATAATCACACATACATATAGCAAATAATTATAGCAAATAACTAAACAAATGCAAATACAAAAGTGTAAATTTATATAGATAACCACTAGCTTCATATTTTAAAAAACATATATCATTAAATTCCTTCTTGTTGTGAAAAGAATAAAAGAGAAAAAAGGTTAATTTCAATATGGCTGGAAGTACATTATCAATATAGAAATTTACAATATGAACATTTAAATTTAAACACCCCAATGTACCTCCACCTTGCTCAAACTCGAGAGGATAATAAAAACCATATACAAAGTTGTGAT